ATGGAAAACCTCATGGAAATCTTCTGTGGCCTGGCATTTTATTATAATTTGCTTTTCAAAAAGCAAACAAAATACAGATTCACAACCTGAAGGATAGAATTAAAGCACAAAATTTGTACTAAATCTCTTTACAGCCTTGGTTAGACCACCCTATGGAGTGTTAGAAAGAGTTCTAGTCTCCGTATTATCAAAAGGGTGTACCAGCACTGGAGAAGATGCAAGGAAGATTTACAAGGATAAGATCATAACAGATCTATTATATCTATCTGGATAGACTGAATAGACTTTAGCTCTTTTCTAGAGAAAAGAGCTGTTTAAGGGATGACTAAATAGAGGACTTCAAGTTTATGGAACGGGACAAATATGTGTGACCAGAACTATTGGCCATAAATATAAGGTAGTCATAAATAAATCCCAAAAGGGAATTCAGGAGCAATGTCTTTGCTTGGAGACTAATTAGAATGTGGAACCTATGATTAGGAAGAGTGATTCAGGGAAATCTATTCAAGGGGCAGCAATATAAATAGTAAAGGGAGAAGGAAAAAGTGGTGAGATGAAGGGCAGATGGGAGAAAGCTCATCTGGAGCATAAATGCCAACATAGACCTGACATTAGTCAATCTTTTTAGCCCCTGTGTCGTACGTTCTATTTTTTAAAATAGCTGAGTCATATTATTCCCAAATGTTACTTCACATAGGACAAAGTTTGAGAAACTCTATCTAGTAAATATTGCTTTAAAAACAAATCTGGTGTTTGGAGGTCTGCATTTGGCAGCACCTACGCTACAAATTCCAGCATATAGCTTGAAGATTTGATCAATGTTTGTTTTCCATGGGGTCTAGAATGGAGCCAGGACCAGGACCTGTTGACCAATGGAGTTGAACTACTGCAAGAGCTATAGTTCTCAAGGATAAATGTCCATGGGGACTTTAACAAGATCACATTTAGAGTCATAGAGTAATACAGCATGGAAACAGGCCCTTTGGCCCAAACTGGTCCATGCTGACAATGGTGCCCACTCAGCTAGTTCCAATTGCCCACATTTGATCCATATTCCCTATAAACCCTTCTCATCCATGTACCTATCCAAATGTTTTTTAAATGTTGCTATTGTACCTGCCTCAACCACTTTGTGGCAGCCCATTCTATATTCTGAGAGTGAAGAAGTATCCCCTCTCATCTTAAACCTATGCCCTCTAGTTTTCAATTCCTCATCCCTTGGAAAAAGACTATATGCATTCATCCTATCTATGCCCCTTATGATTTTATACACCTCAATAAGGTTACCCCTCATTCTCCTATGTTCCAAGGAATAAAGTCCTATCCTGGCCAACCCCTCCCTATAACTCAGGCTTCCTAGTCCTGTCAACATCCTCTGAAATCATCTTTCCACACTTACCAGTTTAACTATGTCTTTCCAATAACAGGGTGGCCAAAATTGCGCACAATGCTCCAAGTGCAGCCTTACCCGATGACTTGCAGAATTGTAACATGATGTCCCAACTCCTTGACCGATGAAGGCCAGCATGCTAAATACCTTCTTCACCATCTTGTCTGCCTGTGGAGCTTTCAATGAACTGTGTACTTGTACTCCTAGGTCCCTCTGTTCCACAACACTCCTCAGGACCTTACCATTTACTGTCTAAGTCCTACTTTGGTTTGACTTTCCAAAGTGCAACACCTCACCCTTAACTGTATTGAATTGCATTTGCCAATTCTCTGCCCACTTTGCCATCTGATCAAGATCTGTCTGTAATTTTTGATAACCACCTTCGTTATCAACTATAACTCCTAATTTTGTCATCCACAAACATTTAAATCATGCCTTGTGCATTCACATCCAGATCACTTATTTAAATAACAAATAACAAAAATCCCAGCAACGACCCCTGTGGTACACCACTAGTCACAGGCCTCCAGTCCGAGAAACAACCTTCAACCATCAATCTCTGCTTTCTCCCATCGAGCCAATTAGCTAGTTCTCCCTGGATCCCATGAGACCTAACCTTGATGACTAGCCTGCCGTGCAGGACCTCATCAAAGGCCTTACTAAAGTCCATATAGACAACATCCACTGCCCGACCCTCATCAATCCTCTTGGTTACCTCTTCAAAGAACACTAAAAATTTGTAAGATATGACTTCCCGTGCACAAATCCATGCTGACTATTCCTAATCAGACCTCCGCTATTGGAATGTTGGTTGATCCTGTCCCTCGGTATTCTCTCCAATAACTTGCCTACCACTGATGTCAGGCTCACTGGCCTGTAGTTCCCTGGCTTGTCTTTGCTACCTTTCTTAAACAATGGAACAACCTGAGCCACCCTCCAGTCTTCTGGAACTTCGCCAGTGGCTAAAGTTGAAGCAAAAATCTCTGCGACGGCCTCTTCAATTTCTTCCCTAGCCTCCTACAACGTCCGAGGGTGGACCTGATCAGGCCCAGGGGATTTATCTACCTTAGAGTACTTTAAGGCTACAAGCACTTGCTCTCTGGTAATATGTATGCGGTCCAAAAGATCCCCACGTGTTCCTCGTATTTCCTTAGCATCCATGATTCTTTCCTCAGTAAACAGTGAGGAGAAATATTCATTAAAAATCTCCCCAGTCTCCTGTGGCTCCACACGTAGACAGCCTTGCTGATCTTTAAGGGGACCTATTTTCTCCTTGGTCAACCATTTACTCTTAATATAGCTTTAGAACCTCTTTGAGATTATCTTTAACCTTATCTGCCAGATCTATCTCATACCTTTTTGCTCTTCTGATTTCCATCTTAAGTGTGCTCCTACACTTTAAGTAATCATCTAGGGATTCACTTGAGCCTGATAGCTTAAACCCAATGTATGCTGCCTTTTTCCTGACCAAAGCCTCAATATCTCTCATCAGCCAGGGATCGCTAAACCTGCCAGCTTTTCCTTTCACCCTAACAGGGACATGGTGTCCCTGCACGCTTTATTGTTTAATATTGGAAATACATAATTTATTGACCTATAGCTCAACCAAGGGAAAGTGAACAGAATGCTGGGATCTTGTCTTTGTAGCATGTTTAAATACTTCAGACTTTCCAAACTTGGATTGTACTGGGACATAAAAAATACTGACTTGGCCTTGTTTAAATCATTGTGCATATAGCTGAGTTACACTGTTGTTCTTCTTTTTCTTGTGGATAATGTTCTAGCTTGTAAGCTGTTTGCTAGCCTTAGCAAGATGAGATGTATTGTAAGTAATTGATTTGTGTATGCAGCTTGTTGCAACCATGATGCTGGTTTAAATAAACTGGTGTTTTGGCTGCGTTAGTCTGTTGTGATTGGTGCTCGTATTTGGGAGGCTGCCAGGCTTATGGAAGATAGCTGAAGACTAATTCAGTTGTTAGATGCTTTCCTGTGCAAGATGAGACTTCAGAGTTTAAGCAAATGCCAGGAAATATTTGTAAAGTTCCCTGAATCGTGGTTTCACAAACATTTGCAGTAATGGTCACTTCATGGGTGGGGGGAAGCAAGTTAATAGAGATGTAAACATTGGAAGTAACAGGTCCAGACTCCAGGAATTGATCCAAAAAGGTGGAAAGGAAAAGTGTAATTTTCCAATATCTGAGAATATATTTTAGAATACTGCTTAAAACCAGTTGAACTCTGCCTCCTCCCATTTGCTTCTCAGTCCTCCTGAAACACCAGTTCTAAATTGCCGCGAGCATAAAAGATCCACCTGAATGGAAGATTCTCTAGTGTAGATTATGATGCGTGTATATATTTGCCATTATAAATGGCCCCAGAATTGTCCACTGGTATAGCCAGTCATTTTTCATCCTCCTCCCCCCACCCAATGATTATTTATTCAGTATGGGTACCAATGGGAAGATTTGCTTTTCCGTAAAAGTCTCTTGCAATTATAATATTTGCGCAATTGTGCCAATTTTCTTTTAAATTAGACCAGTTGCCCTCTGGAACAAATAAGACTGTTTCACAAAATAAACTCTCAGAAGTGCTGAACACTGTTTAAACTAGATATCAGTGCAATGGGGATGTTAAAAGAGATTGTAAAGCAAAACTGACTTGCAAATTGTATTTTAGTTATTTCTAGTTTTACTTTTTAATGTAGTTAGATTTTATATTAACAATGTATTTGACTTCATTTTGTGAAAAATATATGCACTCTCCTTGTTGCAATTGGTACAAGAATCATCAGTGCGAGAAAATCTAACCTTTGTACCCAGTAGTTTAAAAAAATGAATGAGACTCTTATGGTGAAGGATGCCACAGGCATGCAGACACAAACAGTTGTGGGACAGAAATAGTTGCTGATTACTGACTGGCATTTGCATTTTACTGATGCAGATAAAGTGCTAGGAATCTTGGAACCACTACCTCTTAATACATATAGCAATACCAACCTTTACTAACCTTCATTCACCTCCAGCAACACAGTATTGGCAAAGAAGTAGACTGGGAATACATTCTGCCTTTATGCACCACAAGGAATAGCAACTGAACTGCTAAACCAAACTCCACAACGCTGAAATGCGCACACCTAGTCTGCCAACATGTGTAAACTTGCCAGCATTCAGTGACAATGTGTGCAGCTGTATCTACATTTGCACCAATATGTAAGTCTCTGTAAAGCTTAAAATGAGAATTGCACCAGGATAGGGTAAATTTGGATTTGGTGGAATGAAGGAAAAAAAAAGGAGCAAGAGTAGGCCATTCAGCTCTTCGAACCTGTTCTGCATCTTCTACTTTTTTTTCTTATTTAGATATGTCTGACTTGATTATTTTTACAATTGTGCAAGATACCCATGGTATAACCGTTCTGTTGGGAATTGGTTGGATGGCATTCTGAAACATGTACTGTAATGTGTATTGGTGGCATTGTGTATTGAGGGAATTGTTTTAAATGAATGGAAATTGCATTGAGTTCCAGAATGAGATTAATTGTTATTATTGCTTTTTATTTCATTGAATATAATCTTAAATACTCTAGCTTCATGCTTATTTCCTTTTGCCTCAGGTGTGGCATTAACTGATTTACAAGATTAGAAAGATGACTGATGCCAGTGAGATGTTGGCTGCTGCCTTAGAGCAAATGGATGGTATCATAGCAGGTAAGATATTTGCTATGAATTCAGTTCAGTTTAGACATTTTAAGGCGTTTACATGTTAAGTCAGTTTCGTTCTTACTTTATGTTCACTTACATGTTCCTCTGCTTTGAATACAGTAATCACTGCATTCTTACCAGGGCTCCTTCTGTGGAGGACATTTGTATTCAGTGCATCAAGCCACATTGAGAGACTCTGTTTTAAATGAAAATGATCTTGTAAATAACTTTACTAGAACACATGCTTATTCCAGGTTTAAGACTACTGATGAGATGCTTAGTGAGGTAACAGTAAAATAAATGGAGAACACTAAGCTAATTTGTCAAATGAGGCAAAAATTTTGTCCACTCCCAATGAGCGAAACTGCCTTGTATATTTTCAAATCAACTTGTTAAGAAATGTTATTACACACCCTGGAGCAGGTAGGACTTGAGCCCAGGCCACCCGACTCAGAAATAGGGACACCACCACTGTGCCACAGGGTGATCTTCTATGTTGATCCTGTGCATCAGAAGTAGGTCCCTTCAAAATTTATCATCTAAATGTTAGTGCAAGACTCTTTTCTTGTGGAATGCACTACAAGTCTTTACCCAACTTCAGGTTTGTTTCCGATTCTATAGCTTCAGCTTTGCACTGTCACTGATATTATAGAAGTAGGAATGCAGCTTTTCCGCCCCTCCCATCTTGCCATGCTTCCTGGCCAATGCTATCTCTTAACCAGAGATTTAAAAACTGGTTAATTGATCACTTGTCTTATCTTGTTAATTGTGGGACCATATTCTTTTGGAAGTGGCTGCTGCAATTGCTTACGCAACTCAAACAAGAACTTTGGGACATGAGGATGTGAAAGTTGTTTTCCCTGCTCATTTTTCCTTCTGCAGTGTGGATTGATTTTCTTTACTTGCAAAGTTTTTCTGCACCATTGAAGTGACCTATCAGTTCTATGCTCGTTATGGTTTGGTGGTGAGTTTAACTTCAAATTCTGATTCAGTAATGGGGTAAGTTTGTTTTTTGAGCACCAAATATGAATAGGAAATGTTTAGAGGGATATAGGCCAAATGCTGGCAAATGGGATTAGGTCACATTGGGATGTCTGGCACAGGTGAGTTGGACCAAAGGGTCTGTTTATGAATGACTCTGACTGTGTATTTGTTATTATCTAGCTCTGCATATCAGGTTGGGACAGTAATATAATTGAAGAAATCGGTAGGTGCCCAAAAAGTGTTTTAAAAGATTAACTTATCAAATAGAAGCATATATCACTGCAAGTGTAATTGTGTTATAGAACCTATTCACTATTATTTTAAAATTATTTATGTTAAGGGCCAAGAGTTTTTGCTTGAAGGATAATCCAAGTAAACTTCAATTAAAAATAACCTTTTTCATAACCAAAGAATTCTTAGAACAGAGTGCCAGACTATTGGCATCTCTGAAGATAATCAGTAAGCTAATGGTTTGTTAATTCAGTTTCAATAAGTGACTAAACCTATCTGGAATCCTTTGATCCCAATGAAGAGACATTCTTGTAGAGACATTGTTTGTCTACCCCCTAAATCTGAGTTGTTTTGAAACGACTGTCTTGCGTTTCTTCAAGAACGGTACAGAAGTATAGGAACTAAAAATAGGCCATTCTGCCCTTGAGCCTGCTTCATCATTCCGATTGATCGTGGCTGATTCAATAGCTCAATCATGTTCACTTTCTCCCCATTACCCTTGATGCCCTTAATATCTAAAAATATATCAACCTCTCTGCCCCCCTCCCTCTAATATATGTGACTTCCGTGAAAGAGAATTTCACAGATTTGCTACCCTTTGCAGAAATATTTTTTCATCTCTATCCTCAATAACCTACCCTGTATTCTGAGATTGTGATCTCGGTTCAGACTTTCCAACTAGGGAAAACTTCCTCCCTTTATCCAGTCTGTCCTGCCCTGTTAGAATTTAATAAATTTCAACCAAATCCCCCCTCATCCTTCTAAATTCTGGGGAATACACACATCCTAGGACAGACCTGCCGTCTCCTGTCAACCTAGTGAATCTCTGCTACATTCCCTCTAAGGGAATATGTCTACGGTAGGTTGAAAACACAATCATTCACTACCTCAAATTGTTAATTCCTTCACATCAAGCACAAGCCGCAGAATAACATGGGATTTGTTAATTTATTCTCTTGGCTGTTATACTTCTGTTAGGTTTTGATTAGTTATATCTTTTATTTTGCTGCAGCATTTTGAATTTTCTGCCTAATGAGTTTGGGCTGCACTTCATATTGTAGAATCAAATAATGTGCCACAATTACATACTGGATAGTATGCTCAGGGGGTTTGGTGATATGAAGAACCTTCCAATTCATCTGTGTATGCAGTGGTAACTCAGTTGTAACAGCATCGTTTAGGATATTAAACTTTTGGATTTTGCTTCTGGTATGTTAGCCTATGTCAAAGCACATCGGTGACCTAGTGTTTAGGGTCAACTTTTTTAAAACAAGTACCCTGCTTCTGTATTGAAAGTTAACTTAATGCATATGTGTACTACCACCTGCTAATTTCAGCTCTAATGCCAAATTTGCATTGTCACTTCATTAGATGTGCATGACAACATTAATTACCTCATTCATTTTTGACCAGGTTCAAAGTCTTTAGACTACTCAAATGGTCTGTTCGACTGTCAGTCACCAAACTCCCCATACATTGGTGGGCTGCGTGTATTACACCTAGTTGAAGATCTTCGTGGACTGCTAGAGCTGATGGAAACTGAGGAGAAAGATGGATTGCGGTCTCAAATACCAGACTCAACTGCAGAACTTTTGGGTGAATGGTTACAGAGCCATCTGGTGAGCAGTTGGTATAGAGCATCTACTTTCACTGGCTCTATTTAATTCTTCCCAGTATTTTAATATGAATGCATCTTTCCCTACTTTTTGTTTTAATTCATGCATGAGATCTGGGTATTGCTGACAGCTATTTTTTTGCCTAACCCTGTTTGTTAATGTTCACATCAATTTACCTATTGACAAATGTGGAGGGAAAAATAAAGCAACAACATTGATGTTCACTGCTAACAAGATGCTGCTGTCAGGAAAGACGTTCAGCCTAACACACAATTGATGTGAATGTATTTCAGTGTTAGTGTGACACCAGGTATGTTGCCCATATACCTCAAAGACTGATGGATCATATCAAATAGCATGTCCCTTTGGCTGTTTGCAGCAAGTTACTGGCCATACCCAACCAGCCCGCACTTTCAAATCTCAAAAACGTCTAACATGAGATGTGATTCTGCAATTGGATGACATTAACTGGATAATCCTGAATTTGCATGATATTATGCCGACAGCCAATTTAGGATTGTCACTATGGCTCGTATTATGGTGCATTTGTGTGAACTGGAAGCTACATCTGTTAATATGCAGGGCAGGTGAACATGTGCATGCACTGCACTTAGTTCAACTCATCATAATAGGTACCAGTCATTCTTTGATTAATTTCTCTGGAAATCAACTTGCCTGATTTAAAATTCAAACAAAGCCTGAAATTCATTAACAGCTACAATCGCCATGGCATTGCCCCTCCCAATCAGAATTTGCTTGCCAACCACTTGGCATTCCTCATGCAGTAAAATATTGGCTTCCCCTTTTTAAATGGTATTCTTGTGAAACGTCCTGATGAATAGAAGTCAATAAGCTTCGATGCAGGGAGTCTTTCTTTTAAAAAAAACCTCCCTGTCATGCATTGTTCATTGGAAGAACTTCAGCTTTGCCTACTGCCTTAACAGTGGACCTCCAACTGACCACACTAATTCCCAATCTTGCTCCTCTCTCTAAAATTTCAATAATCATTCATTATTCTAAATTCTGCAAAGTAAAGGGAGATAAAAGAAAATCCTCTGGAATCCTCACTGAGGATCTTGCAGAAAGGGTGCGTGAACTCGGTAATAATGTTTTTGTTACTTTCTAGGCTTTTAATTCTATGGTAAGTCATTTGTAGGAATAAACAGCTCCTGCCAAGGAAAATAAATATAAACAATGGGAGGAAACTTTAAAAGTAAACAAACTTCACCTCAGAGAACCTATTTCAAGAGGGTATAAGTTACAGGTGCGTACTTGAGAGTCGGTGCCAAAAGTAAGGTTGCATTGGGTTTGTTTTTGATGCTAGTCTTGCCAGTAGTAATCAGAAACTGACTGAGTTGTAGTATGACGTGATGATGACATAAATAATCCTGAGGATTTTCCAGAATTTGTGGGGTGGAACATCTAACCAATAGTTCATCTTTATATATTGTAATCTTCTCTCCCTTGCTAATTTAATTTGTTTGCCCTTTCCTCCGCTGTTCCTTCTGTGAAATCGTTTTAGATTAGAGGAAGCACAAATGAAAAAAAAAACTTGCATTTACACAGCACTTTTCACGTCCTTGTAAGACTGTATAGAATGGCAACACTGAGACTGACTGACTGACTGTATGGCCCATCAGTGTAATGTTTGCTCTTCACTAACAATTCCTTTTTCTCATTTTCTTCTCTCACTGTCAACCATCTGTCTACTCTCGAATGCTGGTGATTTTAGCTTCAGTCACAACTCTGACTTCCTGTGTTTTCTGCCATAAAATAAATCTTAACAGCCTTTGCATTTAATCTTAAATCTTTGTGTTCCTTCTATTCTACACGACTTAATCAGTAAGGCATCTCTGAGGGACTTTACTTTCACAGTGAGGTCAGTTTACACATAGCAAGGTTCCACTGCCTAGCAATAAGATCAATGAACAGTTAGTGCTTGGGTAGTGTTGCTTGAAGGACAAAGGTTTGTTATCACACACAACCTTTTCAGTTCATACCTTCCACCGAACAGTTGGTTTAACATGTCTGTAAGACAACTTCAACAATACAGCAATAATCTTAAAATGTATGTTGACTCCTGCTTTGAAACTTGGAGATAAGAGTATCCTCACCAATGAGTCATGTGTGTAAAACTGTTCTGGTTTGTTATTTCCAATGGACAACTGAATCTGATTTAGTCTGTCAGACAGTGCCATCCTATGGTGATTCCATATTGTTAGTCAGTATTGGCATTTTGTTTTTGCATGTAATCATCTGTATGTATGCATTTGGACAAGCCAAATAAAAATAATAGTATTTGAATATAGAGAAGCCTTTTCTTGTATGTACTTGGTCTGTGCTGTATGAAGTATCATTAGTCTATGAAGCTAGAAAGAATAATAATGAAATTGGCATTTAAAAGTAAAAATGGTGAGTAGAGAGGAAATTTGATTTAAGATTATAACATGTAAAATATTGTTTTCCCATTCTAATCTCTCTAATCTTGGGCTATGATGAAATATGAATGTAGCTGGATTAATTATATGGAGACACAGGTAATATTAGTGGGGAGAGCTAAGTTTGAATCCCACAATGGCAAATGATTTGGATTAAATTCAATGCATCTGGAATTGAGAATCCGGTGATGACCGTGAGACCATTGTCAATTATTGTAAAAGCCCATCTAATGCCTTTTAAGGAAGGCCAACATGTGACGCCAGACCCACAGCAATGTGGTTGACTCTTAATTAACCTCCGAAATGGCCTAACAAGCCACCCAGTTCTATTAATCACTGGAAAGTCTCAAAAAAAAATGAAACCGGGTGGATCACCTGGCATTGATTAAGACACCAGAAATGGCAAACTCGGCCCTGTTGACCCTGAAAAGTCTTCCTTAGCAGCATCTGGGGGTTAGTGCCAAAATTGGGAGAGCTGTGTTGTTGACTAGTCAAGTGTCAGGTTTTTTCCAAAATATGAAAACCCCAAGTTTCTCTACCACTGCCTCTTTTTAAATATCAAATTATCTTCTGAACTGCCTTTAGGGCTTGAATGCTGCCTTGTCTTGGTGATAAGAGCTTGTCACATACTCTGTATGGTCTGGCTAGAGGTTTGGTGCAATTTGAGCATAACACTGACTGACTGGTATTCTACTGATTCAGCTGTGCAGGTAATGGTTTTCATTGATGTTTGAAGAAGTATAAAACTGCATTCGGTTAGTTATTAGGTCTTTTTTTTGAGTCTTTATAAAAACTACAACTTAAGATTTACACTATTAAATTGTTCATTCTGATGCTATTTTATCCATTCGGAGGACTATGTTATACAATGTAATAAAATGAATACAGCACAGGAACAGGCCCTTCAGCCCACCAAGCCTGCACCTATTCTAATTCTTATTTAGATCTGCTACTTATTGCCCATGTGTGGTTTCTATCCCTCTGTTTGCCTCCCATTCATGGTTCTATTAAGGTATGCCTTAAACGTTGCTGACATGTCACTGGCAGTGCGTTCCAGGCACCCACCACCTTCTGTGTGAAAGCTTTTTGCCTGCACTTCTCCCCTAAACTTTTCCCCCTCTCACCTTGAACCTGTGTCCTCTTGTAGTTGACCTATCCACCCTGTCATAATTTCATACGTCTCTATCAGGTCACCCCTCAGCCTCCATCTTTCCAGTAAAAACAATCTAAGTTTATCCAACCTTTCCTCATAACTAAAACCTTCCAGACCAGGCAACTTCCTGGTAGACCTTTCTCAGCACCATCTCCAAAGCATCCATGGCCTACTGGCGGTGTGGCAACCAGAACTGCACATAGTATTCTAAATGTGGCCTAACTAAAGTTTTGTACAGCTGTAACTTGCCAACTTTTATATTCGATGCCCTGGCCAATGAAGGCAAGCATGTTGCAAAGCATGTTTTTTAGTTGACTGTATAGTGCCATCAGCAAGCTTAAATTTTGCAATTTGGTGAATGCCTTTTAATAGTTGACTGCCTTACTAACTTGGATGCAATTAGTGGCTAAATTATTGAAAGGATAGGTGTGCCACATATAGAGGGGAGTTTATTGTTATTACTGTTAAGGGCATGGGTGATGTCTGCAAATTTGAAAGATTATCCCAGGTATATTGATTTTTTTTTTTATGAAATGCTAAGACCTTAGTTTTCATTGCCCTGTGTTAGCTGCAGACCTTAACGTTTCAGGAAATCTGTGGCACCAACAGTCATTTGACCATCATCAAACCAAATGCATTAAAACAGCTAATAGAATGTTATCTTTAAAGCCATAGTTCCACAGGGCTGTGATGTCATGAGAGAGAGATGACTGTTGGTAGTTTAACCTGACGGCCACCATGCTTCAGCCATGGAGTGATATTGAAAAGGCGAGATCTTCACAGTGATCTCAGCTGCTATAGGAATTGAATCCAAGCTGTTGGTGTCACTCTGCAAAGCAAACTGGCCATCCAGCCAACTGAGCTTCTCAGGAACTATGACTACTTTACCTTTTTTTTTAAATGCAAGAGGAACTGAATACAAAACTAGGGAGCTTGTCCTTCAGTTACTCATAACATGATGAAACCATATCTGGAGTACTGTATACAGTTCTAATTGAAACTTAAAAGGTTGAGGGATTTTACATCCTACATGTTGAATCAGTGCTTCCTCTGATGGGGCAATCTAGAATTTTGGTTACTGTTTAAAAAATCAGGAACTGCCTATTTAAAACGGATGAACTTTTTAACCCCCCCTCTCTCAAAGGGTTGAGTCTTTGGAACTCTTCCTGAAAAGTCAGTGGAAACAAAGTCTTTGTTTTTAATGCAGAGATGGTAGATTCTTGGTGAGCAAGAAAGTGAGAGATTATCAGGTGTAGATGGAAATGTGGATCAGCCATGATCTTACTGAATGATGGAGCAATTCAAAGCCAAATAGTGGGCTACTCTTATTCTTGATTTGGAAGCTCTGCTGCATATGAATCTGGAAGGATGAAACCCTGTATTATACACAGAGGTACAGGTAATGTGAATTT